CACAATTCCCCCCCCCCCCAGCTGAGGGGCTGTTTTTCCCTTCAGGGGCAAGACAGCCTTCTGTCTGTCACAAACCCCACTTTCTGCAATTAGGTAGATGGCAACCCAGGAAAAGAGCCGCTTTGGCTATGGCACCAAAAGTATGGAGCTTTCTCCTCAGGAATATATGCCTGTTCCCGTCTGTCATTGTTTTCTGCCATTGGGTGAAGACTCAGTGATCCCGTCTTTCTGCCCAATGTTTTAATTACTGTTTTATGTACCTTAAATATGTATTTTAGTTCTGGTTTAAATTGTTTTTATTAATTGTTTTATGATATATTTTACAATGTTTTGTTTTAATTGTTAGCCACCTTGGGGGCACTGATTAGGTAGAAAGGTGGCACAGAAGTTTTGTAAATAAATACATAAAATAGTTGAGGAGGAATTCATCATTAGGTATCTAACTTACTTAGATGATATTTTATCAGGTGCCTCAAAGACCTGATTTGGAGAATTTCGGCTTCTGCCCCTTTTGCGTTTGACAGATTCACTATAGCATACGAACTATACAAACATAGAAAAAAGTTCATCAAACATAATAGAGATATAACAATTGAAAGTGAGGAGGGGTGGTATATAAGTAAAAAAAACTGTGATAAAGCCTTAAATTGGTGCTCCCAAAGAATGATTGATTGGTACATGTAGAGGGCCCATGATATTTTGATATTTATGGGCAAGAGATCTTGGTGAGCCTTGGTCTAGTAAAGTAGCTTCCTGTAGAAATAATCTAAAGTGAAGTACTCTTGCTCCTTTTCTGCTCCAAGACGCTCCCAAGATTCTCTGTTCCTGGAGAAGGTTCATTGTTGAAATGCATGGTTTCTCATTTGAATGTGTATACATGTGACAATGCCTTATTTTTGAGCACCCATTTGAAGTTTTGCCAGTTTCTGTAGTAGCTTGGTGGATAATACAGATCCCTGGGTAACATGCAGTCCCAAGTATACAGGGTGTCATGTTATCTGCCAATAAGAATATTCTTAGTAATTTCAGATAGAACTGGGCTGGAAGCACAACAGATAATGCAGTGGCAAGCAGGTTTTTACAAATATGTATGATGATTTAAGAGATCTTCATTTGATGCTATAGTAACTAAGATAATTTCATTTATTTAGTAATTGATTTCATGTATTTCAACATTTCATCAAAAGAAGAGATTGTTTACAGGCATGGGCATTCTGAAATATGCATGGGATTGTGACTGAGTTGCCATTCCCTGGTTGGGAGCAGGGAATTCCCTGGTTTTTTTAGCTTCTGCCTGCTGCTGGCCAGCTGGTTAGGGGGAGAAAACCCCACCCCCAGACAGCAACATGCTGACATCACACAGAACTGATGTCAGCACGTCTGGGCCATTGCTCAGTGACACTCTTGTTTTGGGGCAAAACTATGATTTGAGGCTGATTTTACTCCCACGTGATGTCAACACGTTGCAGTGCTCTGCCCCGGAAAGTTCTTCTATTTTCCCCTTTATTTAAATGACTTGGTTCACAAGTGTCTATTGAAATGCATGGAAACCGTCCTAGTACTCACTGAATCAAATGTCTATAATCCTTTTGTAGGTTGATGCTATCATGAATATTAGGTCTACTAAACATTCTGAGGTTTGGCTGTTGTCTTTTCAAAGTGATTAAAATCTTTGTGTATGCAACCTGCTTTATAGTGAATAAACCTGCTTTCCTACTGCCTGATTATCGAGTTCTGTGTAATTGGAACGCTTTCATGCTGGTATGCATAGGAAAGTTGGCTTGATGGTTGCTATGTTTGTTCTGCATTTTCTGTTTTTTTGGTGCTAACAATTGGTCTACACCAAGGAAGGATTTAATTTATTTTCTCTTTTAAATTAAAAAAAATGAAACTACTTATGTTTTGTTGTCTTTTGTTTATATTTTTCAACATAGCATCCATGACAAGTTCTGGGCCCCCAAAGAAACGACATCGGGGATGGTCTCCCGGATCACCAGTCCCTCCTCCTGGCTTAGTTCTCCCTGTTCCTGCTATTCGGCCTCTTCCAAGAACAGGCAAGATTCTGATAAAACTGTTCAGACATTACAGTAGCTTGGTATCACTTCTTTCTGTGTATGGGTACAAGAAAGGTCATTAGAAATGCCACAGATTGTGTTCAGGCCTACTTCCAAATATTATTTGCAGTGTTCACAAATATAGTTTCAAGCTGGAAGAGTTAATTATGTTGACCAGAATATCTGTCTGTATATAAGCAGTCCCTTTCTCTATTGCAAGCAACACCTTACTCCCTACCTTCGAAACATTATCCGGTGCCTGCATTCAGCCTCATGGCATCCATTGCTTTCATAGTCACCATTTTTAAATTGCATTTCCCTCCTGTATAATCACAGTTCTTTAAGTTCTTTAAGTTCAAGGGGATATGGCGATCTTGGCCTCTTCCCTTCTTCACATTCTTGCTGAGCAGCCCCTTTATCTATTTTCTTCTTATTTGTTTGTCTATGGTTGTCCCACCCAATCGCGATGGATGGATGTATGCTGGCCCAACCCAAGGAAATGAGGAAGAGTCAAAATCACTTTCTTATATTCTGCTTTTGAAATGGCATGCAAGAGGCTTTCTAAAGTTCAAAATTAACAAAATGTTTTATTTAACTTGGAGGAGAAAAGGTCAGGTGGAATCAGGTGTAGGATGTATAAGATGAACAGATGATAAAACTGAGGTAACTTTGTATTCACACAAACACCAGATAATTTGTTGCTAACTAGTAAGTGTTTCTGCTATTTGACAAGGTCTTTAAAACGTTGAGGAGAGAAGCTTTCTTTTCAGTTTCTACTTAAACACTCAAGCATAGGTTTCTGTGTTTCACCGACATGTAAAGTTTAGAAGTCAGGAACATACAACCAAATTCCCTAAATTTTTCTTTATACACAAACCAGAGATCACTCCTCTTCTAAAAGCTATTTCCTTTCTTAACTGGGCAAGGATGACTTCTATTTAGTAGAAGCTATTTCCCTTTTTTCGCTTGAATGAGCATCCTCCTTAATCCACTCGCTCTCTTAGCATCCTTCCCATTCCACAGTCAGTGCTTGGCTGTCTCTTTTTCAACTGTCAATTCCCAACTATCATTCCTTAACTGACTCTTTCAACAGAATTCCGATTAAACAGCCTGTCTCTCAGAGAGACTGTTAGGCATTAACCCTTGACAGTCCGTTACAGGGGGGTCAAACAGCTGATGCTTCAATTTGGATCAGAATACTTGCACATGTCCACCCCCATACACAAACCTAATCTTCTCTTCAGTCTTCCATGTTTCTGCTGAACAAAGTGTGACAATTGCTTTCTGCAGTCCTGTATTCTGGCATGGCTCTGCCCTGGTGTTATTGTGTGCAGACTCCCATCTCCTGCTGGCTGCTAGATTCTCTATGTATTTTGCTTTCTTCTTTGAGTTCTCTTAACTTATGAGACGTTGAGAAAATATATTAGGCCTATCCTGAATTCTGTCTAATGTAGCATTTTTCAGAAAATAGAAGAAGGCAGTTCTTAGATGGAAGAGTACCTTATGATTTGTGTATTGCTGCTTGTAAAACATAATCAGCAACCAAAACTGGTGGATATGTGCATATCTATTTTCTTAAATACGACCCCAGTATATGTGATGGAAGAAAGGGATGAAAGAAACACATAATAAATATGTGTTTTAAAAAGTGTGAATGAACGTTGGTAGCAATCAGTCTCTCTATTAAAATGTTTTATTTAGAAGATTAGATTAGAAGACACACATAATTGATGAAAAAGTAACATTTAATGTTTTTAAACTTGCCTGATTTGAAAATGTACTGCGCAGGAACCAAATTTGTTTTGAAGAGCATGTTGGGGCCTTGGGCCCCTTTCTTATTTTTATGGGATTACTTTAAACCTTGACATTAATGGATAGCAATGTTCCAGTTGAGAGAGAACTAATTTTTTAACTGTATACAAGCCAATCCAAAATCCAAAAAAGTTTCCCAGTGATTCAACTTCCCCATCCTTATTTTATTCCTGTTTTTTTCTTTATAATTATAAAATCATCCATCTTTGCAATTTATGTTTAAAATAAGGATTTCATCTTGTTCTTATGAGGGCTTTGGGCTTCCTTTTAGTGAAACTAGCTATGGCTCCTTCATGTCTAATGTTTAGTGTTTGTGAGTTCAGAATTATGTAAACCAGTATCCATATGGATGTTGGAATTGCAGTCTACATTTAGCTTCCTGATCTGCATACCTTAGATCAGTGATTGCTCATCTCATTTCTTTATGCTTACAGGTAGTACCAAAAGGCTACCTCTATGAGGGCATCTAGCCTGGCACCTTGGAGAATGCGTATTCAGCATCTCGTATTTAATTTTCTTCCTCAGCTACACACCATATACTATTTTCCCCCCAAAGGTCATTTGCTTTAGGGATCGATCTAGGGAAAGATATTAGTTCTTTATTTAAATTTCATACAGCTACAAAGGGAAATGCAAAGGAGTTTTGAGTTTTATTGTCTTTAGTGATGGGGAGTAGTGGGAAGGACTTTCTTTCCGCTTAAATTGTCCATAGGCCAAATCACAGTATGAGTCTTCTAGTGACAGAAGTTTTTCTTTCTTCCTTTGATAGAGCCTGTTTTGTCAGTTCCAGTTCCTCAATCAATGTTACCTGGAATTTTACAGCCTCAACCAATCCCGGCAGGGGAAACTGTAATAGTTCCTGAAAATCTGCTGAATAACTCAGGAGTCAGACCAGTGATTCTGATAGGTAAGTTCATCATATGAAAATGTGGTGTAGATTAAAATGGTGAAATTTCACCATTGTGGTAATGTTGCACAAGTTTTCTATATTCATGCCATTTTCTACAAAATGATCAATCCCAGAGGTATGGGAAGTAACCCCAGCATAACAGAAAATCAGTCCAATGTATTTCTAGGTATCCCAGAAACATCCTTTGTAAACTGTAGAATGTTTATCATTTGAAATCAAGCCAATATGTAAGAGGTCATGGATAGGTCAAACTGGCCCTTCAGTACAGCACTACTGGAAATAAGCTTTTAGCACAATCAGTTAAATAATTTCTCTTTGCTATTAGAATGGTGGTTTTAAATAAACAACCAGATGGGTGTCTTAAGCGTTTTTAAAGAACTCTGTGTTATAGCGTAAGAATCAAAATGGGAATTGACCTAAACAAAAAACTGCTTATTTTTCGGATCCCACTCCAAATTTCACCATGATGAATGGGATACAGAAATAATTAACAGAAAAATTCAATTTTACACAAGTTTCATGCTTGTGTAAAACATTTTAATGACATGTTAATACAGGATGTGTGTGTAAAATGCCGTCATGCTGCAGAGGACTTATGGCGAACTTGTAAGGTTTTCAAGACAAGAGACTTACAGAGCTGGTTTGCCATTGCCATCCTCTGCATAGCAACCCTAGATGCTGCCTTGTTTTAAACTCACCTATTTTGAAAATGTACTGCACAGGCACCAAATTTGTTTTGTAGAGTATTTTGGAGCCTTGGGTCCCTTTCTTATTTTTATGGGATTACTTTAAACGTTGACATGAATGGATAGCAATCCTAAAACAAATGACCAGTTTATTTAGAAGAACCAGAATAAGGGCCTTCTCAGATGTTTTTATCAGAGAGAAATCTCAACCAATGAAAGTCTGAAGCACTTCCTTGGATCTTAGTCCAGCAATGCAGCATTCTTTTTCCTTACACTCTTCCATACTACAGTGGGAAGGAAACGCCAGTGGAGCATCGGCTTTCTTAATAGCCTGTGCTCCAAGAACAAATGGTTTATCCATTTACATTAACTCTTCAAAGTCAATGGATTTTTGGAGGAGACTAGGTAGAAGGAAAGGGGCAGCTTTTTCTCATGACTACCCCCTAGAATTCCTGCTGGGAGATAGGGGGCAGTTTCTCTGTGCTTGGGTCATCCCCATGGTCACTAAACCTATGCATGCTCTACTGAAACAAATAGGTATGCCTGCTCTGAACACCACTTGCCTTGTCTGCTGAGCCACCGTGGGCAACACTACTTTTTTCAAGTGAGGCGAGGCCTAGCACCTCTCTTGTGTGAGCACCTGGGGTGCCTCACTTGCTTCAAGGAGCGGTACCTGAATATGCATCCCAGCACCTACCCTGCTGCACCACAGCATCACAGTTTCATTTTCTGACAGCAGATGATGATCAGAGCTTCAAGGGCAAATAAATGAGGGACAGGCAGTGGACTGACAGGGAGACCAGGGCATTCATCCACATGTGGTTGAGTAAAGAAGCCCAGGAAAGCTAACTAACCAGTATTGCAAAGAGGTGGTATTCTATAGGCTCATGCTGCAGTGCTGTGAAAGGATCAATCTCCTGAAAATTTTTCAGGGAGACCACCATGCATAGCAAGATCTTTGGCATGGAACCCAGAACCAAGCCCCACTACAATAGTATCAGGTGTCCAGTGGCAGCAAAAGGACATCACCCCTGATTGCAGCTCCTGCTGTGCCAGGGAACTCAGCCATACAAGTGGTACCAAAGGATCCCATCAAAGCTGCCTTAGCCATCTCTTCCCAGACCAAAACCTCGCACACCACTTGAAGACCCTTCAACGACATTCTCCTAGGACTAATGCTGCCACTGCACTTGGAGTTATGTAGGCAGGGGTCTTTTCGTAGAAAAAGAGGTGCAGGAGCTCAGTAGCATAACTCATTAGCATATGCCACACCCCCTGACATAACCAGAAGCGTATCAGAAGGCCACACCCCCTGACATCACCGGAAGTGTCAGAAGGCCACACCACTTGACATCACCGGAAGTGTGTCAGAAGGCAACACCCACCGCTCAGGCTCCACTGGACTGTTTTAGATTGTTCCCTCTAAGCTGAGTTAGTGTGAGCTAGCTCACGGTTTTTTAGCCGCCAGCTCACAAATTTTTGTCTTAGCTCAGGAAGAATGGCTCCAGAGCAAATGAATTTATGCAGTAGCCAAATTGCTCACTCACAACTTCAGTGCCAGTAGCTCACAAAGTGGAATTTTTGCTCACAAGACTCCACAGCTTAGAGGGAACATTGGAGGCAGCACTCTGCACAGTGGTCAGAGTTGCAGATTGATGTGAGGAGACCCAGGTTTGTATTCTCACTCTGCTGGCTGAGTGACCCTGGGCCAAATCTCCCCTTCTCTACCTAACCTACCCCACAGGGTTGTTGTGAGGATGAAATGGAGACTCATGGGCAGGATCCCCAGCTTCCCTGGTAGGAGCACTAAAGAAATCTCTCACAATTAGGCTGCTGTGGGCCTAATCAGTTTCTCTGATTGGCTTCCCGCAGTTTGGCCCCATTATATCCTATGGGCCATTGAAGTCAATGGCGAAAAGATAGGGTATATTCTGGGGGCTGGAGGGGAGGGGGTTTGATGGAGAGGCTCCAAAATCGCAGAGTAGCTGCTGGAGCCTCTCCCCAAGATACCTGCCATGTTTCAGGAACATTGAACCAGGGGGTCCAATTCTACGGGCCCCCAAACAGGTTGCCCCATTCCCTCCATTGTTCTCTATGGTGGGGAAAAATAGTCCCATTTTTTCCAAGTCCATTATAGCCTATGGGGGGACCATTATAGTCAATGGGCCCCATAGACTATAATGGAGAATCAATCTAGGGGTATCTGGGTCTCAGGGGGGCTGTTTTTGAGGTAGAGACACCAAATTTGCTGCATAGCTGCTGGTGCCTCTCCTAAAAAACCCCATGTTTCAAAAAGTTTGGACCAGGGAGTCAAATTATTTGGGCCCCAGAAGGAGGTGCCCCTATCCTCCAGTGCCTTAGTGTGAGCAGAAGCTTAAAATCCCTGAGCTGGAGCTAAAATTTTGTGCACCAGCACCCCCTAATGCAGCTTAGAGGGAACTCTGGGACCCAGTTTTTCCACCCATATTACTTCCGTTGGGGAGTTAATTCCCCTGACGTTTTCTAATTTACTGGATTCTATGACCTCTGTGATGTATAATGCAATACCTCCCCCAATCCATCCTTCCCTGTCCTTTCTGTAAAGCTTATGCCCAAGAATTACTGTATCCCATAGATTTTCCCCCTTTCACCATGTTTCTGAGATACCTACTATATCTAAATTTTAATTGAGCACCAAGCATTCCAGCTCTCTGCCATCTAGGCTCAGAAACGTCTAGCATTGGCATTAAGACACCTATAATGTGTTTCCATCTTCACCAACCTTCACCTCCCTCAGTCCCTTAGTCACCACACATGACCCTGATTCAACATCCTACCATCACTCTCAAGTTCTGTTACACTCTTATCAATATTACAAAATCATCCCTTTGGACTGATTTGTCCTGAACTGGAGGCTCCCCAGCTCCTGTTGGCTGTCCCCCCAGATTAGGTTAAGAACTGCTCTGCCACCTTTTTGATATTAATCACTAGCAGCCTTGATCCCTTTTGGTTCAAGTGAAGTTGCTTCCTCTTCTGTGGTATACCAAATCCTAAGGAATAGCTTTCCTGACAATTGCGTGCTAAAACAGCTAGTCAAGCAAGCCTGAGTGAAGGTGAGTTCAAACCAATCATGGCTCTTTTCTTTCTTTCTTCCCGCCCCCCTTCTCTCCTCAACCCACGCATGCAGTCTGCCATAGGGTCCGTGTAGTAATTGACAGATATTTTTGTTGTGTTGGAGGAGGTATGGAAATTGTCCCCCGTCAGCTCCTGACGGGAAAAATAAGATTATCTATCAATCTAATTCCTGTCCTTCTCTGAATTCCTTCTTCCATTCCTGCAGAAAACCATGCACCAGATTAAAAGTGATGCAAAACTTCATTAAAATATATCAATTGCTTCAATAAAGAGCTATACTAAAACTGAAATAAAATCAAGCATGACTTACATAAAAACTCTGCAAAGTGATAAAAGCTGCTTCTTACCCTGCACAGGTGAACGGCAGCATGCTTCTGAAGAGGAAGAAGAACAAAAAGATTACCTTAGTGTAGATGGAAGGGTGCCCAATGAGGAGGGAAACAGTCACTCAAATGAGGGGAGGTGTAGATGAAGCCATGTGGAAAGAGTCCCTGGGACATAATAGGGGTGATACTGGGAAGCTGGAAGGTGTACTTGTTCCTGAGGGAGGCCCTGAAGTAGTTGAAACAAATTTAGTGTTTCCCTCATACAAATTTTCCTCTCCTGTTATATCTCACATGCCCATGTTATCATGGACTTCACAGCAATTTCTGGCTTGTTATTTGTTTGTTCTGTTGAATAAACCTCATATAACAAAATTCACTATAGGTAAGTCTATTAAGTGAGTTTTCAAGTGTGGGATCATGTGGGCTCTTCCAGGGGCTTTGATTGGGTATAGATTCTGTGTTTGAATGTTGGCTAGTGGTGTTTGCAGGGAGAGGAAAAACCTGTTGGGGCACACAAATAAAAATGGAAGGGGGGTGAGAGGAAGTGGTTTATAGTTTCTGTTGCAGCTGTCTTCTGTGGTGCAGAGCAGAAATGGGATATTTTGGGAAGGGATGTTTGATTAAGTCATCAACTCTTTTTCCTCATATATGTCCTAAGGCCAGTTTTTGTGTCTCATACTACAGTCCAGGTTGCATCACTGCTTGGGAATCCACTTCCCAGTTTTACACATGGGAATTAAGCACCTCATCAGAAAAATTTGCTCCTTCCACATTATGAGTTATGATATTTGGCTTCAGTGTCCGCAGCAAATTTGTCCCAGAAAATGTCTGGAACTGTTTCCAGGCTTGAAATCTTTGGTTTTGAGAAGAACCTGGCCAACAGCTTTTCTAGTCAGTTTTACAGTCGTACTGTACTTTGTTGTAGCATCATACACATTGATAGTATTGTAAAAATAATAATAAAGAATCTCTCTCCTTGATATGCTAGTTATTTGTATATATTGATGATATGTCACTTTTCTGTGGAGCTGCTTTAGGTGGTTCATGAGTAAAAACAGCCCTCAGGTGAGATGGAGACCCATAAAATCCCATATATAGTTGGAACTTTTCAGCTAAAATTTTGAGTAAAGAAAACTGTTTAAGCATGGTGCCTAAAGGACAGTAAATGAGCTGCCAGGCAAGCCTCAAGGCAGAAGATGTTCCAAAGGGAAAGAACCACCACTGAAAAAGCTCTTGTTGCCTCGTGCAGGCCAAAGTACAGAGAGCATGGTTTGGGAAGAGGATTTTAACTGCCAGTCTAGACTGTGCAAGAGGAAACAGTCCTTTGGGTACTGCAGCCTAAGCTATTTAGGGCATTGAAATTAAGAATTAGCACAGAATTATGCATGGGGAAAAATGGGCAACCAGGGGGACCTTTCACTGTAGGGGTGATACGATCCCTGTACCCAGTAATCTGACCACCATGTTCTGGACCATGTTTTGAAATTTTCAAACAGTGCATTTCTAACCTAAATGTGATCAGAGAATGGATCACTGTGGCTAGATCCTGGTTTTAATTGAATGGCCATATCTGGTATTATCAGCTGAAGCTGAAAGAAGGTACTATGTGCCAGACCAGAAATCAGAGCCTCCGGCTTTTGCCAGTGGGTCAAGAATGCTCTGTTTTGTTTGGTGTTCCCTGATTTACCCTCCTTTCTGTTTATGTCTATGTTTTTGTGTTTGTTTTCAATTATAGCTATTGTTTTATATCTTACATTTTATTTTAACATTTTGTTTCTTCACTACGTTGGGAATCCTGAACTGGGTCGAAAGGCATCATTAAAATGCTTTAACCAAAGAAATAAAACTATAGGTCAGGATCCATCAGTAGTCCAAAGCTGTTAAGTTGTTTCTTCAAGGGAAGTGCAACTCCCTCTAGGACAAGCTGATTCCTCAGTCCTCAAGCAGCTTTGTCATTGACCAACAACACCTCAGTCTTATATAGATTGGGCTTCAGTTTATTGGTCTTCATCCATCTCATTACCTTCACCTGTTTAGGACTTCAACAGACTCTCTGGTTCAGCTGTTAAGGAGAAATAGATCCCAGTTGTCATCTGCATATTTGTAGATCTTTCCAGATCCCCAGGTGATCTCTTCCAGTGGTTTCATGTAGATATTAAATGGTATGTGTGTGAGAGGGGTGCAAGATGGACACCAAGGCATAAATGCCACAGAACAAGCAACAGACCCCCCCCCCAAGTCACCTTCTGGAATAAGCCAGCCAAGTAAGAGCAGAACCACCGAAGCACAATGACCCATGACCAATATATCAAAAGCCACTGCAAGGTCCAGGAGAATAAAAAAGAATGCACTCACCTGCTGAAAAGCATTATTAGTGTGATGAAGGCCATTTCTGTCCTAAACCAAGGCTAGAATCTAGAGATGTATATAGATTAATCTGTCTGCTCCACGATAATCTGAAACTCCACAGGTACCACCTACATTTGCACCTTGTCCAATAATGGAATGTTGGCCCCTGAGCAATAGTTGTTAAGGTAATTCAGGACCAGGGACACCTTCTGCAAGAGGAGCCTCATCATGACTGATTGTTTCAAAGCAGCTGGAAATACATCATCCATCAGAGGGTATTTATTACCTCCCCCGACCCACTTGACCCAACCAGATCCAGCTGTCAACCACAAAGTGCGAGGGTTGAGCCTAGGCATGAGAGAGTGCACAGTTCAAAGCAACTTGTCTGCTTCATCAGGCCAGCTGAAAGTCATCTGTACAGTTAGGACCAGACTGTGCTCCAATAACATCCTGGGATTGAACATGATCTCTATATCACAGCTGGTATGAGTAATTTTATTTGCAAAATGTATCACAGAAGAGTCACAATGAGCAAATTAATTTTTCAATATCCTTGGGGCATCTGAGATAGAATTTCTCTCACAACCCAGAAAAGCTCCACTGTTTGGCATTGTACAGATACAATTATGGCACAGGAGTGCATTCATTTCATTACTGTCACTACCACAGAGTAGACACAATAATGGGATCTCACCCATGCTCAGTTGCATTTGCTTGTAATCATCTGTGTAGCCATTTCTTTGCCTGAGCCCTTAATATCCTTGGTAAACCAAAGGACATTTTTGCTCCATATTGCTACACCAAACTGCTTTTACCCTCTAGATTTTAGGTATGTATTTACAAGATTAAACCTGCATTGGGAGTCTCAGGATGCAAAGGCAAGTTTAGATGGGGTATTTGGAGTGTAAAAAACCAGCACAATGAAAAGGCATCTCTTTCTCCCATTTGTTCGCTCAAAATCATGGCCTCCAGAAGGTTTGTGGGGGGTTTTTTAATTTAAGAACAAATGCAGAAAGAGTTGGGGCCTCTTCACATGAGTTTGTGTATAAGGTGTGTATCCAGTTTTTGCAATATGGTCTTCAGAATCCATCCATCTATAAGGTCTCAGTGTTGCATTCAAGGGCCCCATTTCCCTGCTTGGGGATCCCTGAATTCTTACACCTGTTTTTGTATGCATAATGGTACTGGTAGCTATTGCAAAATTGTTTAAGTTTTTTCTTTTTATAGGTTATGGCACTTTACCCTATTTCTATGGGAATGTTGGAGACATTGTAGTAAGTCCTTTACTAGTGAATTGCTACAAAATTCCACAGCTGGACAACAAGGATTTGGATCTTTTCGGTTTGACGGGGAGTCAGTTACTAAGTGTGGAGAACATGATTATTTTAACAATACAGTATCTTGTCCGATTAGGTAAGGCATTACATTGCGAATTGATTTTTCTTTCTTTTTAATGCCAGTTCTTACAAATCATGGCCTTTTACTGGTGATAAGCCTTTTGTTGCTTGTCTTTGTGTATAAGTAGTTCTGTACTCTAAGCTTGGGAAAGCAAAATTGAGAATGAGAATGTATTTGAAATGTGAAGCATGTATTTTCTGTTCTGGAGCAAATTGGCTTCAAGGGCCTGGCTTACATCCGGAAAACAGGGCCGGAAAGGGTTAATTTCTCCCTTGCCCAGCAGTTCTCCACAGCTTCTGTTCAGAAGACTTTAAAGAGATGGAATATCTACTTAGTCTTAGACTTATAAATTCTTGTGTGAGATCCCCCCCCCCCCCCAGTCTCATGTTTGCCTAGGGTATTGAACCTGCAGTTGTGGTAAGATCAGAAGGACTGATCTTTTCTTTAGGATCTGCAAGTAACTGATTATATGAAAGTAGGGGTGCCAGCCCCCATGTGGGACTTTGGGATCCCCCGGCATTACAGCTCATTTCCAAACTACAGAGATCAATTCCCCTGGAAAAAAATGGATGCTTTTGGAGGGTGGACCCTGTGGTGTTATACCCCACTGAGGTCCCTGTCCTCCCCAGGCTCCACCCCAAATCTTCAGGAGTTTCCCAACCTGGATCTGGCAATCCTACCTCCTATTCCCTGCCAATGGCTGGGGGGGGACACCTGGCAACCCTAGTTGAAACCGATGTCTGTTATGTAAATGACACAACTTAGTATCTAAGAATTAAGGGAATCTTTGTGCAAGGTAGTAGCTGCATGTAAGACAGGAATGAGATTCTGAAGCCCGTGCTTTTGACCAGATCAATGCAATTGCTCACCTGGATGGAATGTTTAGACTTTGTAAAATGACAATCAAGTGAAGATTGCCTACTAGTTGCAGACTTTCCTGACATGCACTCACATTCCATTTTGACTAGGAAGGCCCTATCCATTATGTCTAACCTGTATTTGTGAAAGCATTTATGATGCATCCTTTGTACCTGAGATTTTCTTGACCTACATATATATGCTTTCTCTTACAAACTTTATTTCTTTCAGAAACATCTATGGTTATTTTAAACCAAGAACTCAAGAAAATGTCTTATACAAAGGCTCTCTCTTAGAAGAATTTTCATTCATTAGTGCTGTACTAGTATCTCCCCCCCACACACAAAAAACTTTTTACTTTCAAAGAAAAATGTGGTGTTTAAAAAAAGATTTCAAAGACAGGGGAACCCTCCTTGAACACATTTTCATTATATTCCAGCATCACTATGCTTATGCTTGGTTATTCTCTTCTAAGTATTTTACACTTCTTCTCTAAGAACTGTAGAATACTACCAATAATACAAAGTTTTAAGTTGAGCTCGGTAGGGGCTAAAACTTAAAATATATTTTTGGATGTCTCAAAAGATAGGAGGGAAAGGCTAGACTAAAAAGATGCTGAAGAATTGGAAAATGTATGTATGTTACATTTCATTTTTGAAATTTAACAGCTCTGTATTATGACAAAGTGGAGGTTGAAAAGTTGGATACAACTAGCTTTTTCCACTGGTGGAAAAAAAGAGGAGGGAGTCCCCTTTTCCCACCAAAAATCTATGCTAAAATATTTGAAGCATTTATATTGTTTGGCTTATCCTGGTTGGATTCAGGAGGTGGTGAGTGGTTAATTAAAGGAGGACATAGTCTGACTGCCTTGAAGGAGGGAATTTTGAAATCTCTCTGGAAAAAACTTTCTTTCAGCCTTGACTATTTAAACAGCTATTCCTTTTCTGGCCAAGGTGCTTGAGTGTGTGGTGGCTTGTGCAACTCTAGGTTTATGAATTATCTAGACCCAATCTAGTTTCTGACTTGGGTTTGGAACTAAGAATGCTTTGATCCACCCTGATGGATGGCCTTCATCAAGAGACAGAGGAGAACTGTGAGCCTATTGATGATATTGGATTTCTCAGTGGCTTTTTATACCATCTGCTATGATATCTTTCTGGAATGGTAATCATGAGCCAATGGTTCCATCTTTCTTTGGCGTGACTGGTATAGGAAGTTGATGAGTCAAATATTGTGTTGTCTGTAGTGTCTGTTCATTTGACTTTGTGCTGCCTTGCCCTTTGTATAAAATCACTGTGGAGCCATTTTATATGTCTCTTCTATTGGTAAATCCTTGTTGATGGTTTCAGTATGATGTCATTGCTGCTATAGTGGGCTTTTTTGTTTGTTTGTTTGTTTCAGTGCTGATTCATTTTGGGTTTTTTTGCTGCTGGTCTGATTTTAGTGATAATTTATTTAATATAGGTCTTTTTGAATGGATGTATACTGTGTTATGTTTTTAAGCTATTGTTGGGAGTTGTTCATACTGATTTGAAGGACAACTGATAGAAGCATCTTAAATTAATAAATTTGACTGAAGCATGTTGTACTTTGCTACTCATAGACGACTTCCAGTTGTTCAACTACAATGGCAAATTCACTGGCAGTACTTTCATTGCTGTTCAGTGTATCTTTGATACTTTTATTAAATCATCAGCACTTCCAGCTCCTCCGGTGTCCTCAGAATCTGAGAGCAAGTGTAATCACTGGTCTTGTTTAAGTAGTACTTTCTATTCCTCTGTGCCAGTGTTCAGGCCTCTTATCAATGTGGAGTGCAAACCTTGCTGCAGGGCTGATGTGATAATGGATTCTTTAGCAGCCTGTCAGCTGTTTTCTATGTGAGGCTTAGAGAGCTATCCTGAGCAGGGCTACTTGTATCTATTCAGTGGGGCTTACTCCCAAAAAAGTATTCTTAGAATTGTAAATGTTTTCTCCTGCTGTAAATATTTGGTGGGAATAACAGGGTGAAAGGACTTATTCTCTGTTACTAATCTTGCAATATCTGTTTTGTTCTAGTAAGGTTTTTGTACCTGTTGTAGAAAAAGATTTTTGTACCTGTTGTAGGAGCACAATCCACCTAAGTTAAGCATTTCTAAGTTGTATTGGCATCAGTGGAAAAAAGTTAGGCATGTGCTGGAATTGAGTGTATTGTGACATTTTTCAAAATGTTAGGGAGCAGCACTATCTTTGATTATTCCAAACCAGCATGCTTTTTATTATTTATATTCCGTCCTCATGTACTAATTTTCCTTGTGTTGTACGTGTATGTGGAAAGTAAATGATTGTTATAGTCTGGAAACTGTGCTAAGCAGAATTATCAGAATAGCGAGTAAAGATGTTTGATTAATCAGGAACTAATTGAAATCTTATGAAAATTGATGACATTCTGCAGTATCTTCTTGCTGAAAATGAGAAAATAGAAAAGTAGTGAATAAAAATCCTGGATTCATATTTAGTCTAGTCATAATATTTGGTAGTTTTTTCTTTCTACCAGGACATGAACTTTGAGTGATTTTACTTCCTCCCCTCAGTTACTCATATGTTGCAGCCCTTATACGGAAGCATTTAAAGCTGTTCCTACGTGGTGGTGCTACTCTGTGTTGTAAAAGTTGTTAGTACCTTAGCATTTGTGTTGGCCCATTCCTGTTGGGTAGGATCTTGCTGTGAAAACAGAAATCATGTCCAGCCTCTGGGAGACTCTTTCCAAGCAATCACCACTCAACAGTCGGAGAGTGGGGAGAGAGGATTAGGGTTGCTAGGTCCACCCTGGCTGTTGGCAGGGGGTGGGAGGTAGGGTTGCCAGCTCCAGGTTGGGAAACTCCTGGAGATTTGGGGTGGAGCCTGGGGGGGACAGGGACCTCAGTAGGGTAGAACACCACAGAGTCCACCCTCCAAAGCATCCATTTTCTCCAGGGGAATTGATCTCGGTCATTTGGAAATGAGCTGTAATGCCCGGGGGGATCCTCAGGCCCCACGTGGGGGTTGGCATCCCTAGAGGGGCTGGATGGTAGAGGTAGACTATTAAACTGCCAGATAGGGCTGAGTAAAATGAAAGAGTAAAATGGAGTTAGGAAATCAGGACCCTTATCTTCTCAACTTGTGTTGTACAGGTCTGAGGCCAAGATTAGTGAACCACTAAGCTTTTCACCCTCTCTAAGTGAATCAAAACTAGGAATAAGCCGTGTCTCAACTACGTTTAACCTGCTAAGCCCAATGTACCAAATTCAAGGAACCCTCAGATGTGCTGGTTATTTAAAAAAACCAAAAAAAAACCCAGCACCTTTATACAACAAAAAAACAGCACATAAATTATCCAGGCATTTCAGCCCTCGACCCACACCTGTCCTCATACAAGAAACATGACCCCTACCACTCCCTTGTCTAGAAACATGACTCCTACCACTCCCTTGTCTAAGTGTTTCCTCATTCTGCCAAAAGACATTTTTATCCATGTACTTGGGCTCAGCTAGCCCTGGAGTAGAGACTCTTACTATGATTGGGCTAGTGGATACATTAAGAAGATTATAAACAACCTGCTCCTATGTGAATGGCCTCCATGTTATAGTAGTAAGTGTTTGAAGGCTTTCATGTTGGTGTTCTACGTATATGAAGCAGCCTTAAATGTAAAGTTCTCAGAATTATGCAAGCCTCCTTCCACTTTTATGAGAATGTTGGCTGGGATTATAAGAGAGTGGAAGTGCCTGTTTCCTAACACCAGTCAGTTTAACACAAGGCATAGTGGTCATCTCAGTTTCCTATTTCTGATTATTGACTGTTCTGTAGACAGGAAGAATGAAAAACCAGGTGCAAGGTGAAAAGATTTTTTGAAGTTCTATGGATTTCACTCTAGGCTTCGTCAGGGGATATAGAAAACTTAAATAAATCTTTTTCACCTTGCACCTGGTTTTTCATTCTTCCTGCCTACTAGTGTGGCCATTGTTTCTCATGACTGTTCTGTAGGCCAGTAAAATAAGTTTGTAATGAACTCCCCCTACCCTGAATCTGAGCTCTTAAAAGCACAGCATTATGGATTCATTTAACACTTAAGAGAACCAGAAGACCTTATGGCCAGACTGTCCACCAACCCAATGCACATTTATGGGATTTACAACTATAGTGTGCCTCAAGCAAATTATAAGCGGGGATAAAGTTGTGGCTAAGTGGCAGAGCATCTGCTTTGCATGCAAAAGGCTCTAGGTTCTAGCATCTCCAGTTAAAATAATTAAATAGTTGGTGATATGAGAGACCTCTTCTTGAAACCCTGGAGATCTACTACCAGTCCAAATAGGCAGTACTGGCCTTGATAGACCCAGGGTCTGACTCATTGTAAAGCAGCTTCATGTGATTAAGTATCCTTCCAAAATATTTTTTTCAGAGAAAACTGATCAGGGAAAGGCTTCCTAATTGTTTTATGTGCCCTGAAGCAGTATTTTTTTTCTTCCAGTTTGTTCTCTATGCCTGTCTATCTTTTTATAGTGGCTTAAGCTGTTCATTTTGTATACAGTAGTCTGAGTCCAGCAATATCACATCCATGTCTGGATACCCTTTGACAGCTTACTTACGTGGTCATTATAATATAGATATGTAGCTTGTTGGAAGAGACTTTGGAAAATAAGTTTTGATCTTTTTTTTTAATTGCAGGTCCTGATAAGATACCTCTCAGGGAAGAATTTGAACAGATCATGCTGAAAGCTATGCAGGAATTCACTGTGAGAGAGCAGTCCTTACAAATGAGTGCTCAGTACATCTCCTTGTCACCAGCTCAACTCCCGTGGCTTGCCAGGTTAATTGCCAGTGTCTCCCAGGACATGGTGCATGTGATAGTTACTCAAAATTCGCTCGCTGAAGGCATTTCAGAAACATTGCGATCTCTGACTGAAATGAAACGCCAGCAGAAACTTCCAGATTATGTGGTTGCCATCTGCACATCAAAGATCAGAGGAAATGAGTTCTGTGTAGTAGTGTTAGGTAGGTACCTTTTCTGTCACATGTTAAAGACACAACATAGATTAGATGATGGTTTATATTGACTTAGCTTTCACTGATGAAATGAAATGCAGATTTTGTAGTTCTCACAGGTGCCTTGAAGAACCATTTTATTCACACACTGTGGTTAATCATACTGTGTGGTTAATCAAACAGCTCCTGTTTAATACCTCTCTTACTGCTGTGCTGTATGCTGAAGAATTTGAAGTTGAAGTATTTATAGTTGTATACTCATGAAATACACTGAGTTACATCCATTTTTATTGCAAACAAGTTTTATCATTAACTGATTTTAGAATGCAGAATGTGTTGGGATAACCAAACAGCTACTAGAGATTACCGTGCAAGTACCTACTTTTCAGGTGCAGTCGTGTGTTTACTCCACTTAGGCTATCTGCAGAACTCTTCAGCTTTCTTAGATTTTTATCTTAAATGTATTAATCAACCTTAACAACCTTAAACTGCTCATACACATCTGGGATTATTTGTTCTTTCAGCTCATCAAGGAAAAGAGAAAAGCCCTTTAAAGGGCTAAAAGGGGCAGGGGAATGGTGGGTGGCAATAAGCTGACCTATGCCGTTTCGAAAGAGAAGCTTAGTTCTGCTCCCCTCCCTATACTGGCAGTGGGGGAGCATACAGATGGACATTCCACATGCACATTCCCCTTTAAATGGGAGAAAAAAACAGGCTCCCCCCCTTCTGATTAAAAGGGAAAGTCCCTGGAATGCCACAAATCATGCTTAGATGTCATATGGATATTTGCCTTTAAATTCAGGGGCTTCGTGTATTCCATGCAGGGAAACCTGCCTTTGTAGAAGCAGCCTGGAAATGTCTTTTGACCAAGGTGAAAATAAAATCATTTTCTTTGACTTGGTTGGTACAGATGAAATTTATTTCTTTGCCAAAATTCTTCTGTGTGGAAAGGTTAATTTGAAGCTGTTTTTCACTTTTTAAAAATACAGATAATTTTCTCTGATGTTTTGTCTTCAGAGATGTTTATCATCTCACGTTTACCTGAGTTTTCCATTCCTTTTGAGAAAGTTCTCCCTCTGCAGACTTCTGGTAATTGGAGTAGCTCTCACAAGGCCACCTGATCTCAGGGAATAGCAGACATGTGGTGTCGTTAATTGATATAACTATACAGGAGATTGTTTCTCCTTTTACGAGAAGGTGTAGGACTTGCTCATACAAGACTTTCTGTGATTAAGGGCTATAATCCTTTGAAATATCTTCATGCAGACTGATACTGCTCTCATCTACACAGTGTTTTCTCATGCTGCATGGGGAAAAAACTTCTAGCCTTCCTCACACTATTTGTCTGAACATGTGATTGTTACTACAAACAGAAATGGAAAGAGATCCATTTCCAGATTGAATATCTCTGCCACTATAGATGTCATGTTTGCATTATAGACATAAGAAATCCAGAAGGCACTTTTAGTGTTATATGTAAAAATGCCCTTGGCCCTTTGTACATCACAGATGCCAGGCTTTAGAGGTCACAGGGACAGTATGGGGTACATTTAGCAAAGAGTAGGAGGCTGCAATTGACATGTTAGTGCACAACCCCTCTGTATGTTGACAGAATGGTGGAGAGCAGGAGCAGGTACATATATGTTGGCACCAGCACCTATGTGAGGAGGAAGTGTCCACGTGTACACTGCCTCCATTTGACAGAGGTACCTGATTATGGGGAAGTATATGTGTGGATGCTTCCATGGGTTCTATCTTTATGTGTCAACAGTCTGTTTTGGTTGGGCCAATGTGTTCATGCCTGCCTCTGTGCTCCACATGAGAGGAGTGGTTATGTGTAGAGGGCTTCTTTTGTTTGTCTCAGAATGTGAACTACCAGCAGTTGCTATGGCTGTTCATGAAAAGCAATACTTTCTACCCACTGCATAAAAATGTGTATTCAGTGTATGTTAATTTGTAGGCACTTCAAAAATGTTTGGACAACAAGAAGGTTACATGTACAAGAGTCTTCATTAAGTATATTACACTAACATGGGGGCTGAACAAAACACAAGGACTTTCAATTGTGTGGGGGGAAGATCAGACAATGATTATTGTACTGCACTGTATAAAATTTACATTACACATAACAGATTATTCATATGAATCAATAAGTGCAGATGGACTCTGAGGGAATAATTTAAAGTAAGGCATGCAAAATTCATTTCTATTGACATTTTTGTTGTTAATGGCACCCATGCTAAGAAAGTGAACATGCAGCAGTCAAGCTTCTTATATTTATAATGCCCTGTAACCTTTTTCTGACCTTTCTTTTCTCTAGGTCAATATCAGTCTAGGGCGCTGGCTGAGAGCATGCTTACTACCAGCGAGTTTTTAAAAGAGATCAGTTACGAACTCATTACTGGAAAAGTTAGTTTTCTGGCATCGCATTTCAAAAATACATCTTTGGGTGAGTAGATCCAAGATTCTGCCATTGCTTATGTGAATTCTAAACCTGACCATTGGGATCAGTGATGTAACTGGCCTGCCTGAATTACTTGCTTCATCACTAAACACAAAGCTGATTTCATGATGTCATGTGGTCTGCTGGAAGCCAACTTGTTAAAACTGTGGAACATATAGGTGGCTTGAGAAGGTTCCATGTTCAGTAAAAACATATGTGGAAGTTAAAACACAAAGGGATGCAACTTCTGATTTAAAAGTATTAATTTTTTTTCCTTCCAAAGCTTGCTTAATGTAATGATGGTTCCCCCTCCTGTTTTGCTGTCTACTTGTTTATCCCGTTGCTGTGGACAAACTATAGTTGAAGGGTCTTGTATATCTATCATGTTCGCATTATCATCCCACCCTGCCTCCCAGAAATTCATTATAGTGTACATGAGTCTCTGTTTCTTCAGATTATCCTCTCACTGATACTGTAAAGCAGATTATTGGGGGGGGGGGGGGGCACAAAGTCACATGGGGCTGCATGGCAAAGTGGGGATCTGAATCTGGGTTTCCTCACACCTAATCCAGTGCTCTACCCACTACCACACACTGCCTTTCTGGATGATGTGGCACTGGACTGTATCCACAGTAGCATATGTGTTTCAAACACTGAGCTCCAGTTTAAATTGCCACATGGAAAAAAAGGAAAGACCAGGCTATTCCAGTTATCTTCAGCCTAAAGAGGACCAGGGCAAAGACTGTTCTAGATGAATATTAAATATGGTATAATATCCTCGAAGCCATATTTTGAAGATTTGTGTTAATGTATTCTACCATTTCCGATACATTTTTATTTTAAAAGCATATTATTTACTAGGTGATGAATTAGACAAGTTGCTGGAGACAATGCAACAAAGAAGAGGAGATAATGTTGTAATCCCATTCAATGGTGATGTTAATGAGTGTATTTCATCTCAAGAAGCAGCTGACATGGTTTCCACTCAAGAACTAGGTAAACTTTGTCTTACTAGGATTGAAAGAAATTGGATGAAAGCCTTATTTCAACACGTTTAGGAAGCACAGAGTTATTGGAGCCTAGCGTACAAGTATCCTGCAACATGGGCCTCCCTTCCCCCCACTGCCAGGCCAGCCAGTGGAGCTCAAGAAGACCAGAGATTTGATTGCCACAGCTACACAGCTGTTGCCAGTACTCCTCCAGTACAGGAAGGGAGAAAGAAGTCAGTTCTGATATCTGGCTTCCAGACTCACATTAGGTCTGCCAAATCTCAGCTGGCTGTACTAGTGTGTGGGTTGGGGGATATGCAGGAATTCTGTGGATTGGGCCACTCCCAGTTCTTTCTTCCCTGTTTCTACTCCTAAGCAGGCCCTTTCTCTTGAGGAGGCTTTTACCCCAAAGGACTCCTTTGCTCCAGCTAATACTGTTGGCCTTCTTCCTGTCTCCTCCTCCTCCCTTGTTCTTGCAGGCCTGAATAGCTCTCTGGTGAGCTGCTGCCTTCCTTATGGGATGCAGTGCTCCACCCCTTCTCCTCAAAGGGTAGGGTGCCCCGGGGCTGTGACACCATGGAAATCGATGGATTTAGACAGGAGTGCATAGCATTGCACTGTCGGAGATGGAAGCTACTAATCCTGCATCTTTAGACTTTTTCTACTTCCTAGAAACTAAATTATGGCTTTGCTTTCTTTAAGATTTTGAAACTGAAACCTTCCAGATTTACCAACCACAGCTCACAGTTGCCAGAAAGCTCTTGTCACAGGTCTGTGCTATAGCAGATAGTGGCAACCAAAGCCTGGATCTGGGCCATTTCAGCAAAGTGGATTTCATTGTTGTAGTCCCTCGTTCAGAGGTGCTGGTTCAACAAACCATTCAACGGATTCGACAATCAGGTAAAAAAATGGGGAGGAGAGAATAGATAATGATTTTCAGCTGCACTCATGTGAACAAACATAGCAGTTGATCTGTGTATTCTCTGTTGTGTAACTGCTGTTGCATAACTGCACAATAAAAATTACAAATTTCGTACCAAGAAAATATTTTTTGTCTCGTATATATGATGAAAATTAGAAGGATTTGCACATATTTGCTTATATTTTCCAGAATTTTTAATGCTAGGGAGGGGCAGAAGCTATATAGGGAGTGTTACCTGCTTGTTTAAAATATTTATAATTTTAAAACTACTTTCTGTGAAAATATCATTGTGGCTCCTAACACTGAAGCCTGCACAGCTTCTCCCTTCGGGTTTTAAGATTTCCTCATACATTATCAAGGGTTTCTTAACAGACATGAGCATAATAAACTTGATTTAAAAAAAAAATGAAAGTTTCTCACCCTCCATTTCTTCCAACAGGTGTTCTTGTAGACTTGGGCCTTGAAGAAAATGGAGCAGCTTACCAAAAAGCTGAAAAATATGTGGTGCGGCTAGACAATGAGATTCAAACCAAGTTTGAAATTTTTATGAAGCGGGTGAAGCAGAATCCATATACTCTCTTTGTGCTTGTTCATGACAATGCTCATGTGGATTTAACAAGGTAATTTCTTCAAAACAAGGCAATAGAACACCTACTATTATATAATACAATTCCAGATTGTACACCCGGGCAAGATGCCACCCGACCTTACCAGCTGCAGCAACGCAAGCCCCTCCTGTCTCCTCCGTGAGCACAGTGGACAGCCAGGCCAACCTTCTTGTGTCACCAGTTAGGCCATCCTTTGTTGGGATGGCACCAGCCTGTTCTTGCTTGGTCAGGAGTAAGGGCAGCCTGGCAACCTCCCCCATCAAAGCCACAGTGCAACCAGGGCAGGCTTGTGGGGGATGGGGCAGCAAACAGGCTTGAAGGATGGCTCCAGAGAAGAAAAGCAACCTACCAGACATCTGGTGGAGGTAGGCTGTAAGCAGTGGGTGGGTCTGGTCTCCAGAGTAAGAGGTAGCCCTGCAGGCAGGTGGGAGGGAAAGGCATCTGGCCAGTGAGAGCTTTCCTCCAATCCCCAGGCCTTCCAGATCACATAGGTGGCATGGAAGTGGCCAAGAAGGCAAGGCATCCCTGTTAGAATCCAGAAGTAGGCCATTGTAGCTGATCCCGCTTAGAGCACTGGGAAGGAAAGGTCAGTAGAGAGGGGGAGGATCGTGGTGTTGCAGCCCCCTCCCCTCATCTGACTGAGGCCCTCTAGGGGTAGTTGCAGCAGATGGGCAAGTGGTGTGCCAGGGGCAGGAGGAGCCCCACACAGTCGCCTTAGTTTGTAGCAGCAAAATAAAATGGGAGTCCAGTAGCACTAAAAAAAAAAAACCCTATTCCACCATACATTTTTGTGAATCTGACAAAGTAAGCCCAAACTCAAGAAAACTATGCTGGGATACATTTTGTTAGTATTTGAGATGCCACTGGACTCTCTGCTGCTACTATGTTCTGTGTTTTCATTCAAATCTTAAGCAAAGAACAAGAACAAGATTTATACCCTGCCCTTCACTACCCAAAGGAGTCTCAGAGTGGCTTACAATCCCTTTCCCTTCCCCTCCCCACAACAGACACCCTCTGTGGTACGTGGGGGTGAGAGAGTTCTCTCAAGAACTGCCCTTGAGAGAACAGCTCTGAAAGAACTAATGATTGACCCAAGGTCCCACCAGCAGCTGCATGGGGAGGAGTGGGGAATCAACCCCAGTTCTCCCAGATTAGAGTCCGCACTCCTAATCACTACACCAAACAAGCGATGTCAAGCAGGTTCTGGTGAGGCAGCATACACATTTTCTAAATAAATATATAAAGTCTGACAGACTGCACCCTGAAAGATATTTCTGTAAACTTTAATATTTTGGATTAAATGTAAAAAAAAATATCATTTGCCTTGGAAGCATGGAAGCTTTACGCAGTATCCCCAATCCTCCATGTTTCCTGGTTAAGGGAAAAATGCTGTTCAAACAAATTACAATGATGATCTGACCCCAATGGTAACAAGAGAAAGAAATTTTACTTACAGAAATAGAAGCACATCTTACATGACATCCTTTAGTGAACAGACTAACTTCAAAAAGGTTAACTTGCTACAACTCCAAGACAGGTAAGAGAGAGAAGAAGAGAGGTCCTATAAAAGATAAAATAGAAGACAATCAACAGCCAAAGAACATCAACATCTAACCTATGCGAGGTTGGGGCCAACTGCCAATAGTACCCCAGTGAGAGAATTTTCTTAACCCTTTCCCTCCCTGATCCTCTTGCATGCAGAGTTACAATATCCAACATAATAAGCTTTGTGACCAAAAGTTAAGGAAGTGTACCTTTCCCTGTCACTGCAGCAGGATAACCCATATTTGCCAGACTTGTTGCTGTCATACAGCTGTTGAAGGAAAAGAGGACATCTTTGTTCAGTAGTAGGTAACTCTGTCTGAGATGCCTTTTGACTGTCTTTAAGTTGTGTGGTTTTTTGCCCTCTTGGGCAACATGCTAATGTACAGTATGTACTGAGTTATTTTGGTGGCCAGATGGTGGTGCATGGTCTTTTACTGCAGTGACCTAGAGGACTAAAAGCTAGTCTTCTGAACCCTTTTGTCCCACTAATGTAATGTTTCCAAGGGCCTGCCCAAGAATCATGTTTGTGAATCTACATGATTACCATATACCCATCAGTAGAATCATATCTACAGAATAAATAAGCTTACAAAATCAGTCACATAATGGCAAAAAGATGTTGCCTGTTGTATAATATTGTAGCTGACATGTTGTCTATAGGAAATGGGCAATTTCTTGGGCAAATTGAGCTCCTTTGTATTGGTTTCCATTTGGCCACTGATTTTAGAGACTTTCACTATTGCATTGATGTGCTTTGCTCACCTTGTGTGATTCAATGTCATCATTGACTGCTTTGACAGTCATAGACCTTGTAGCTCCAAGATGCTAGCAGTGGATGCCAAATATTCAGAGTTGACGAGGTGGTCTGATACTTAGCTCTTTTTAGCCTGGTATTGCTCCCCTGTGTAGCAAACATACTAATTTAACTAGACCACCTCAACTGTTTGGAAATGTGTGGAAGTAAGAGATGTGGTTATGGTCGCCTCATTCAGTATGTGGGAGGAGGCCATTAAGCAGCTCTGCATACAGCTAGTGCCACCAAGTGGCAAGCTTTGTTTGTTAAGCAGGCATCTCATGTCAAAGAGTCTGTGAACTCTCCTTTTGTGGTCGCGAAGAGTTGCACTCGACTGTGCGACTGAACAACAACAAACATTATTTGTAGACCCATGCAGGAGCATTTCCTGGACAAGGTTCTAGTCTCTGTTTTGGTCTTTTTGTTTTATCCAAATAATTTGAAGCAATCAATTTGATATGTTTTGGTCTGTTCCACTAGCGCGATCTCAAGCTCTTTATCTCATGGGGAGCCCAGCCATGGACTTGCTGATAGAGTAATTAATTGTAGAGAAGTTCTTGAAGCCTTCAACCTCCTTGTCCTTCAAGTGAGTTCTTTTCCATATGCTCTTCAAACTCTGCAGTCTAGAATCAGCTCTTCCAATGAGGTACACTGGATACAGTTTAGTAACATGGTAAGGGTCTAAATGTTATGATATAATATAAATGTTTACAGTGTTTGTTCCCATGAACATCTTTTGCTCTCCACCTCTGGTGCTATTGCTTTCCTAAGAAAAAAATTCCTCCCTCTTGATTAATGGTTTATGAACAAACTTGAAAAGGGTATCTGAGTAGGATGAAACTATACTTGCTACTCATCTTGTATATCAAAAATTACATTACCATGGTCACTAACCAGCCTACCAACTGCATCATCAAGCTCCAGAAATTGCTTAGTACTGGCGCTTTTGAAGAACTTCTCCCGCCAGGATGGATGGATAGGCTAAAATGGGGAGATCGCTATAAAACATAATTTCCTGTGTTCCTTCTAGGAAGAATCATCTCAAGTATAGAAATTTCAGTGTACTAAGAGTGTGACTGTGTTGAACATTACACAAATAAAAATGTGAGTCCAGTGGTACCTTTAATACCAACAGAATTTTATTCAAGGTACAAGCTTTCATGTGCATGCACACTTCTTCAGATACATTGAAATGGAAGTTACCGGTCCATACATATGGACAGAGGGTGAGCAGCAAATTAGCATGCAACATAATGAAGATGTTTAACAGATTCAAGAACCAGACAGGAATAACAAGCTTAGTTTATATGGTTACCATTTGTTTGGGTTTAATTCTGGGGGGGAACATAGTGAAGGAAATAAATATATTAAAATGGGAGACTGATGGGCAAATGTTTTATTGCAAAGGATCTTCAGGAACAGACTAGAAAGGAAAGTGCTGAGTTACAAGTTATTACAGCACTCAGAACACTGGAATCCACAGGACTTAACAGGGATATTGGTTTCTTATCACACTACATATGCTAACCTAATTCAGTCCTTACATCTGTATTCTCACCATTTCCCCAGAAGGACTATACATCCTCTTTATTTTATTTTATCTCTTATTTAGAATAGTAGATTGGAATAGTAGATTGTAATGTAATGAATAGTAGAATGTAATATAATTTGGAATGTTAGATTGGAATGTATTCTCTGGTCCTGGGACAGGGAAAATAACGCTACACAGCCAATCGACTCACCTCAAAGAAGAAGATGCTGTAAGATCACCTCCATGCTTGAGAGGAGACGGATGGAGTTTAATGGCAGAGTCTCAGTTAATTACTCTCAGCATTCCTCAATTAAGAAGGGTACATCTGCCTATCAATCTCCTACTTTGTTATATTTATTTCCTTCACTATGTTTCCCCCTGGAACTAACCCAAACAAATGGTAACCATATAAACTAAGCTTGTTATTCCTGTTTGGTCCTTGAATCTGTTAAACATCTTCATTATGTTGTATGCTAGTTTGCTGCTCACCCTCTGTCCATATGTATGGACTGGTAACTTCCATTTCAATGTATCTGAAGAAGTGTGCATGCACTCGAAAGCTTGTACCTTGAATAAAACTTTGTTGGTATTAAAGGTGCCACTGGACTCAGACTTTATTCTGCTGCTTCAGACCAGCACGACTACACACCTGAATCTATTACACAAATGTTTTTAGTATCTTGTGTATGATGGAAGAAGTCATTTTAAAGATGTATGACAATACTGGGGTGTGTTATTGGAGGAGGAAAGAACTTGCTAACATGCAGAAAGAAAAGTAAACATTTGTAAATTTCATTTTGCTTCAATCTCTGCTTGAAATAGGAGGACTTAGGCCGAGATGAGAAACTGTATTTTGGCTTGAGCGAATATGGCAAATCTTTGCAGTGGGGAATAACAAGCCCTCTTCTGAGATGTGATGAAACCTTTGAAAAAATGGTCCATACGCTCTTAGAGAGGTAAATGTTTTTGGAATAGTATTTAGCCATGATTATGGAAATGGGTTTTGCATTTGTGCTGTCATTATATAGGTATAGAAATCTCGTGTAGAATCTTTTGGATGTTCCCAAATCCCCAAAGTGGCAGCTGTTTGTTTTGCCACAGAAAAGGTACTCCTTGTACTTGCAGAAATATACACAATGGTTCAGTGGTACTTGCATTAGGTTTTATTTTTATGGCAAGATCTTGTTATCTGGCATCCTTCGTGCAACAGTTCAATGTATCAGGAATTGTATTTATTATTGTTGTTCTTATTGTTGTTCTCATTGATGTTATATTTCAAACCATTTTTGTTTGTTTGTTTTGTCTTTATTTTTTATTGCTTTTCTACAAACACTATAGGAAAGGGGAGACAGGGGGATTTCTAGGACTAATAAATAAAACGACGAAATAAAGCAAGGATCATAAACATACAAACATAATCATTTGTCATCCCTACATTTAGATATAAAAAAAAGAAAGTAAGGAGTGTTACTGTTTTTCTTATCATAATAAAGCTGTTTTAAGCCTATTTGGGAGTACATTATAGCCTATTTCAAACCATTTTTGAATATTGCTTGATAATTTACAAAACCACAAGTTATGCTGCAGTATGAGGGAAGGCAACCATGGCTATTGAGAGCCACCATGGTCCTCCAGACAAAGACTCCATCTGGGCCAGGCCTGTAGCCATGAGGGGGCTGGGAAGGATGACTCCTCCTCCTGAATGTGTCCTTCCCCCTCAGGCATGCCTGGCCGGAGGGGGGGGGGTCCGGAGGAGGTCTTCCCAGCCGTGCGTCTGTTTGCATTCTGCTGCTGCCTCACCCACGTGCCCCTTGTGTGGCTTGTCCTGGCCGGCCAGGAGGAGCTCTCAGCTGGAGTAGGGGGCAGTGCAAGTGGAGGGCAGGCAGTGGCTCCAGTCTCTTTTGTGTAATCTGAGCCGGTTGGGGGGGGATGGTGTGATGCAGAGGTGGGGGGTCCTGTCATAAATCGTTCCGGTGTGAATTGCTGGCTGAGGTACTGAGCCTCTGACTCCCCACACTGGGAAGCAACAGCCAGGGAAGGCTTCAACCCCCTGGAGTGGGTCAGCCACCATAAGAGACAGGAGTCCAGGGAAGGTGGACCCGCACATGTCTGATCTAGCAGGGCTCTTCTCCTGTTCTTGTGAGAGACTGGGGGGTGGACCATGGAGAGAAGGGAGGTCAGAGTGATGAGTGCTTCTTCAGGCTGGGATAATGGAGGGAGAGGCAGCCCTCTGGGTGCAGGAGTCCCCTTTGCCATCTGCTTTGGGGGACTTTTTGCTAGAAACAGAGCACCTGAGTTGATGCCATGAAACCGCCACTGGGTGTAGCCATGATAGCCTTTCCGAAGGAGGCAGGAGGGTTCTCTCCATTTCGAAAACAGCTGTGGGGAGACAGTGTGCTGGTCAGGTGAGTTCTCAGCTTGGGCCCAACCTTGGCAACACAAGCTGTGGCTCAGCTGTACAAGAATACTCTGCCAGGAGGGCAGCCCTTTAGCCGGTGGAGCCAAGGGGCAGCTTGGGGGCCTGAGTGGGAAATTGGCCAGATGCCTGTGGCTGGGCACCGCTTCCGACAATGGTGGCTCAGCAGGGGGGGAGAGACTAAAGGGAGTGGGGAACTGAGTGGGCCTTGCTCTCCTCTTCATCCCACCGGGGCCATGATCCCCCCTCTTCACTCCCCTGTTTTCTTCAGGGGGACTGATACCTGTAGTCAGGAGATAATAATAATTCTGGGAGATCTCCAGGCTCCACCTGGAAATTGGCAAGTCTAGTTCTGGTCATTGTGCTGCTGTCCCCTTGTTGCCCCCTTAACAAGAAATTTCTGGCTATGGGCCTGATGGGCCCCGCAGATGACCCTGATACTGAGAACAGAGTAATATTTTTTTCAGTAGGGAAGATACAGTAAAGGAAAAACGACAGGTGTATTAAATAATGGATTTTACTTAATTTATGATTTACAGTGTGCAGATTGCAATAGGAAATGGTGCAAAAAATGAGCAAGTGGAATCAGAAAGACTCCACAGCCAGAGGATCTAACCAGAATGCTGAAGTGCACTATAAATGAAATACAGATGAGACAAAGATTTGCTGGGAATAAGCCCCTTCAATGAAGTGAGACATCAGTCTCTCTCAAAAAGCATCCAACTGGTAAAATACCTTAAAATATTTCTGCTCACCCAAAACCAAAAAGCAAGCTTACACAATGTAAAGATGCTTAATGAGGAAGAACATTTAGGGAAATGTGTGAAGTTGGTTGTATCCTCCATGGAAAGGAGGCCTGTTAGCTGAGTCTCCAGTTGATGATGATACTTTTTATGATGGCAACAGATTTCCTGTTGGTTTTGCCCCCAACAGACCATACCTACCTCCTCTAGAATCTGCATCTACTACTGTCAGCCTTCACAACTACTTGTTCAGTTTGTGCCAAGATTTCCCTAGGGCTTAGCCCAAAAGTTTGTTTTCAGCACAAGCTGAGTCCTGGAAGAAAAATACTTCTCAGCATACCTTCCCCATAGCACTGGGAAACTGTGGTCTCCTTCTTCCATGTATTTTAATAATTCAGTAATATACTTAAAAGGAGCTGCGGTGGCTCAAGTGGTTAAGACGCTGAACTGCAGGATGTGGAAGGTCAGTAGTTCAGCAGTTCGAGATCTGAGTGTGCCTCATGACGGAGTGAGCTCCCATCTCTAGTTCCAGCTCCTGCCAACCTAGCAGTTCGAAAGCAAGAAATTGCAAGTAGATAAATAGGGACAACTTTGGTGGGAAGGTAACAGCGTTCCGTGCGCCTTGGCGTTTAGTCATGCCGGCCACATGACCATGGAAACGTCTTCGGACAGCGCTGGCTCTTCGGCTTTGAAACGGAGATGAGCACCGCAACCCTTGAGTCGGACTCGACTGGCTTTCGAGCAAGGGAACCTTTACCTTTACCTTAATATACTTAAAGATGTAGAGGAAGCAGTGGAATTACTTAATTATATTTTAAAATCCCTCTGTAAAAATAAGGATAAGATAGCTACATACATAGGGATAAAATCTTTCATAAGAATAAAATCAGAGGCTTTGTTGGATCAAGCCAAAGTACTCTCCAGTCTAACATCTTATTTTCCACACTTGCCAGCCAGATGCTTCTGGTAATCCCACCAGCAGGAAATAAAGGCAACAGCCACCCTCTTATATTTCCCCCTAACAACTGCCATTCAGACATTTAATCCCTATGAACATGGAGGTTCTATTTAGCCATCATAGCTAGTGGCCACTGATAGACCTGTCCACTGGCATGTATCTGTGTAATCCACGTTTAAAGTTTTCTGGATGTCACCTCTTATAGTAGTTTATTCAGTAAATTAATTATGGAGCAAATGAAGTAGTGTTTCCTTTTATCTGTCCTGCTCTTGCCTCCAGTCAAGTTTACTGTTTGTGAACTCTGGCAGTGAGGCAGCAAAACATTCTCAGTCTGCATTTTCTTCACATAATTCATTTGTTTGTAAGAATCCATATTTATGCCATGGAGTCCGCAGTGGCTCAGAGGTTAAGATGCTGAGCTGCAGACCGGAAGGTCTGTAGTCCGGCAGTTCGTGACCCGAGTGCTACATGACAGAGTGAACTCCCATCTCTGGCCCCCGCTCCTGCCAACCTAGCAGTTCGAAAGCAAGAAATTGCAAGTAGATAAATAGGTACCATTTTGGTGGGAAGGTAACAGCGCTCTGTGCACCTCGGTGTTTAGTCATGCCGGCCACATGACCATGGAGAAGACTTTGGACAGCACTGGCTCTTCGGCTTGGAAATGGAGATGAGCACCGCCCCTAGAGTTGGATTTGACTGGCTTTCAAGCAAGGGAAAACTTTTTTATATTTATATAATTTATTTATCTATATCAGGCCCATAGGCACAAGGGGGCTCACAAGGGCGACATCCCCTCCTGAATGTGCCTGCCTCCGTCCTCATCCATGCCTTTGGGGGGGGGTTTGGTATTTTTTAATATGTGTGCATGTGAGTTTGTGTGCACCTGGAAGTCATGGTGACCTCTGGTGACTGACCCCTCCTGGGGGGCCTGGAGAATATTCAGAGAGGCGGCTGAATAAAGCCTGCCCCTGCCCTCCTGCCTCTGGTATTTCAAGGAGGTCTCCCATCCAGTTAGTTGCCGGAGTCAACCTTGCTTAGCTTCCGAGATCTGACAAGATCAGACTTGCCTGGGTTATCCAGGTCAGGGCATTTGTGCCTTTTGCTTCCCAGAGAGACACGAGCCAAGTCAGAGACTCGTGAGCACAGGGGGAAGCAGGGGAGGTAGGCTGGAGACAGGCGCAGCCACCGTGGAGACACAAAGCCTGGCTGGGGTCACACACACCGTGGCCGAAGCGATGGAGTGAGCGCCCCTGGAGAGGACACAGCTCCAGCCACGATGGGGCCCTTTCTCACTGAGGTGAGCAGTGAAGGTGGGCCCAAGCTGGTTTCCTCAGGCGTCAGCCCCCAGCAGAGGGCAAGTGGTCTGCCGTGGAGTGCACTCCACATGGGAGCTGCTTCCCGGACGCTCAGAGCAGGGATGGGACGCACATGCAGGGATGGGATCCCCTCTTCTCCTCCTCTGTCTCTCTCCTGCCAAATGAGGTAGGCGTCCACTGGGAGATAGGGATATTTGGTTTTAAACAAAATGGATTATCAGAACACAGTTTGAGTCCAGTGGCTCCTTTAAAACTAACAAAATTTTATTCAAGGTATAAGCTTTCATGTGCAAGCACACTTCTTCACATTCAGTGAAACAGAATTTCCTTAACCATTACATATAGAAAAGGTGGCGGTTAGTTAGTTGCCTGGAAGGGCCAATTAGAAACAGAAACAAGTCTGCCTGAGATCACCATTATTATTTATTATGGCAATGGAAACCAGACAAGATAATAGGATTACTGGAATAAAGGATGGTAAGGAAGAATACAAGATGAATGACTATTAATACAAGATTAATATATATATTAACACAAAGCATAATGCCTTCAGTCACGAAGTTGCATTTACAAAAGGCCAAAAAATGTCTCACCGATGTAATAATAATAAAAAACATTTGCTTCAACAGTGTTGAAAATGTAACTAAGTCAGTTCTAATTATTGAGTGGAAGTAGCTTTAACTACAGATCTCAGACTTCATATATCCTTTAACTAAATATAAAACAAGATCTGTTAAAAACCACAAACACAATTTAAAATCACATTCTTAAGCCACAGTATTGTTTGTGTGTGTTGTTCAACCCAGAAGGGCATTCACTATTCTACATATTTATAACCACTAATACAGATTTATAAAATCAGTTTACATGTAAAGGATGGATGGAGGGAAAAATCACCCTTTCAGTACGTGGATAGTGGGGAAAATAGTAACTTGGGAATTAATAACTTGACTGTTTATAATATTAGCAGACCATTGCTGTTTATAATATTTTTCTATTCAAAATATTAACAGAGATTTGCTATTCTACTATCAAATACGTTTTAACTTCCCAGCTAGGGTAAGGATGAGAAGGAATGAGATTCAAACTTGAAAATAAGGGTAGGGGAGTGTCTTGCCTTGCTCCAGTGCTGGATTGGTCAATATGTTTAGCAGCATATCAGGGGTCATTTCGTAGAAAAAGAGCTAGGGGAACTCATTAGCATAACTCATTAGCATATGCCACACCCCCTGACATCAGGGGCCCGGCGGTGGACCTGCAAGGCCAGCGGGAGTGCGAGGAAGCCCCGCCAAGGCCCTCCCTGGCCCCAGGCAGGCAGGGGTGGGGAGAGGTGGGGAGGAAGCAACTTACCCTCCTTCTTCTCCTGCCTCCTCCTGGCTGAATGAGGACTGGAAGCGGGGCGGCCGGAAGCAGGGGGCGGGGCTTCGTCATGTGCCCCGCCCACTGCACCTCACCCGGGGGAACTGTGTTCCCCCGCGTTCCCCCCCGAAATGACCTCTGCAGCATATCAGTATAAGTGTTTGCCTCAGCCTTGCTATAGTGAAGTATCCCGCCTCTGATTACTTCCAAGTTGGTTATCTGCCTCAGCATTCATTCTGCTGGGAAGTGGGGCTTCCCCCTGTTTCTCCACTGCATCATGGAGGCTTGGCATCCCTGTGTACCAACCCAGATATGAGAACTGAAATGTTTACAGTGGCAGCGTGGATACAAGTCTTTGCAAATGTTGTCTTTGCGCCCAGTGAATACTATGCCAGCAGGGTGAATTCGGGCAGCCGGTTCTCAACAATGGTCACTGACCTAGCTGTGCTCCCTATAGGCATAGCGTGCTTCATGCTGTGTCTCAGGAAGTCGTCACTGACCTAGCTCTGCTCCCTATTGGCATAGCGTGCTTCATGCTGTGTCTCAGTGGCAGGTAACCTGGCAGTAGCCATTTACCTTATAGCTGCAGTCAGCATGTGATGAAAAGAGTGCAGTAATTCACCTTTCCTGTCTCCCAGTTAGTATTTTAAACTTGCTGTCCTACAGTTTGTCTACACTGGGGCTATATATGCCAGTGATTTCTAAGGTGCAGCTGTGTTTCTTTTAGCCATGGAGACCTAAATGTATGCCAACGCAATGCTTATATAATGAATCATATAAATCAAAACAAGAACATGTTGGAAACCCTGAATTATGCAGTGCGTAAGCCCTCTTTCCTTTTTTATTGCCTGGTTAGACCTGATTTCAGGCCTATTTATGCTGACTAAAACACAGCTGTATTCCTTTCAAGGTACCCCAGGCTGCACAGCATGGTGATTCGCTGCTATCTGCTTATTCAGCAGTATTTGGAAGCCTTGATGGCTCTCACTACCATGGCCTCACTAAGAGACCACAGCACACCTGAGACACTCAGCATAATGGATGACATCATCACTTCACCTGGCAAGGATAAGAGTGGTCGTGGTCACATGCTTGTCATCAGGATTCCCTCAGTGCAGCTGGCAATGCTGGCCAAAGAGAGGCTGCAAGAAGCGCGAGATAAACTAGGCCTGCAGTATCGTTTTGAGATCATCCTGGGCAACCCAGCTTCAGAACTTGCCGTTGCCAAGCACTTTGTGAAACGATTAAAGGTGAGCATCAAAGAATGTTGTGAATTTTCGTGCAAGTGTACAGCTGTACGTTCATAGGCTTGTGTACTACATTCACTCAGTGAAGGGTTATAGTAAATAGAATGGAAAACACTCCATACACTTTCTTATAGTGTTACTTGGAGTGCTATGGCAGTGTATGGAAAATTATAATTATTATTGTTTGCACAATAACAAGTTTACAGTTTAAGAAACATTTGTTGCCCGGTAATTTCTGCAAGACTTTCTACACCTTTGCTGGAACAGCTGAACCCATCTCCAAAACTGTCCTCACTTACAAACTTCTAGGCATTTTGCTATGGTAGTATATCGAAAAACATATCGGGTTGGATCCCATCTATTATTATTTTTTTTGCACAAACACAACTTCCCTGCCTCCATATTCTCACTGCGGCCTGAAATGCCCCTTATGCTGATTCTAGGAGCAGAGGAGCCCAGAAGCAGCATGAGGGAGGAGTTGAAGAAGAAGGGGAAACATAATCGGCAAAACCCACTTTTGCACATGTGGTCTTTTTGCACAAGACACTTGGACCAGATTCCTTTTTTCCTTTGGGCTCTGCACAGCATAGTGTAAGATCAAGTAATACACAAGCTAGTTATGGTGATGATATGAAGGCAGAGAGGCAACATTAAATAAAATCTTATAATAAAAGAATAAAATAAAATTCATGATTACAGACCCTGATTTTCCTAGTCATTTAGAAGACAACCACAACATTTGAGTATTAACTGAAATTCGTGAGAATCAAGTGACAAAGCTTAAATAAATCTCAGTACACTGATGAGGAGTAAGATACTGGTGCAATGTGTCCTCTGTAGGATCAGGCTCCTATTACAATATTGCATATAAAATGAGCCCTGCAAGATTAGAGCAGAGGCCCATCTAGTCTAGCATCCTGCAACTGCTGACCAAGTGCCACAGTTTGCAGAGGCCAAGCCTTCCCCTGCTCCTGCTTTCTCCCCAGCGAATGCATTCAAAGCCTTCTAAGGTAGTGGCCATCGCTATATAATGCAACAGGGAGTTCCACAGATTAATGATCCTTGTGTTTGACTTTCTGTCCAGGATAAATAATAGCATGAAACAATGTTGGAAAACAGTTTTCTCTTGAGGAAAAACACTGTATTCACTGTTCATGATATAAACAGGGTAGCTAGGATGGCAATAGGAGGGGGAAGATTTATACCCCACCCTTCACTTGGCGTCTCAGAGCGGCTTACAATCATTTTCCCTTCCTCTCCCCACAACAGAAACCATGTGAGGTAGGTAGGGCTGAGAGAGCTCTGAGAGAACTGTGACTGACCCAAGGTCACCCAGCTGGCTGCATGTGGAGAAGTGGGGAATCAAACCCAGTTCTCCAGATTAGAGTCCACCACTCTTAACCGCTACACCAAACTGGCTCAAACTGGGAAACAAATTGTATCTGAGGTTTGCTATGATTACTCAAGCCCAAAACTCTGTTTTCAGTGTTCTCATTGATGGTCAAAACTGCTTTTTCAGTAATCCAATGTTACATAAATTCCCATCAGTATTTTGTTTCACACATCTGAGTTGATCCTATAGAGAAGGATGAGAGAAGCTTTTTCTCTTCTTTCGAAAGGACTGTGTGAGTTTATCCTACAGGCTTGGTGCAACTTGTATTACTTTCAAATGTATGCTGCACTGAAGGTACAGGAAGCCATAGGCAGATTGAGTAATGAAAGGAAGCATGAGTGGTGAAGGGAAGCAGATCTTTAATAGATTTCTTCTCCCAATCCTGGGAGAGGAATTAGTCATAGGTCTTTTCACAGTGGAAATTTCTGAAAAGCAGGGCAGCATATTGACTCATTGATCCACTGTTAAGTGTTCCATTTTCAAACTATTTCTTTTGCCTCAAAAGGAATGACTCATAATACACGGCATCTGTCTGAGGTGGCGAGAGAGAAAATGGCAGATGGAGAGGAGCAAAGAGCTAAGAGGAAACAGTTCCTCTGGTTTGTACATCCATATTTCAGGGAGCTTTTGTTAATGTGTTTGAAAGAGGAAATTATTACCTCATATTACTTCTACTTCTGATTGTAAAATAGCGCTTTATATTAGTCACGTTCCCAGGTCTTTGGTGCTCCTTTTTTAAAAAAATAAATAAAATGTGCATTCTCCTCTTAGTTCAGATGACCATTTTACAGTTTGTGCTTCAGCTACAATTGTCAGCTGTTACAGGGCTTTGGGTCCATTAAAGTCCCTGAGGTGAGAAGGCTTTACATGGGCTCACCATCCCTCTGCTTGTGCTACCTACTGCAGTCTGCCCAGCCCTTATTTTTCTTTTTAGTACGTGCTACTTCTTGTGTAGACCCAATCAGGGAGGGGAGTGGGGGAATGGATGACAACTCACAGGGTGCCAGGAGATCCCAGTGATTGGGGGCAGGGAGAGGTATGGCAGTGGGAGAAGGTCTTGGAAGGGAAGGAGGCGGAGATATGGAGATGCTCGATCTGCTCCCAACCTTCATCCCATCCCGAGATACGTGGGTGTGAAGGCTAGGAATGTTTACCCCCCCTTCATCACTGGTGTTGTGCAATACCAAGTCCATTAATAATAAGACCAAGACACTATCTAGCACAGCAGAATATGGACCTGGCTTGCATGACCGAGACCTGGGTGAGGGATGGCGAGACTATCACCCTGCAAGAACTGACCCTTCCAGGTTTCTTGGTCCTTCACCAGTCACAAACTCAGGGGCAGGGGGTAGGGTTGCCTTACTCATCCGGGAGGGTTTCTCCTTCAGGCCACTCCCCATGCCAAAGATTGCAGGTATTGATCGTGTTGGCTTGGTGTGGGATGCTGAGGAGAGCCTGGCTGGCTGCTTGGTGTACTGACCACCTAGCACACCGGCAGACAGCCTGCCGAGCCTGTTGGACGTGGTGGCTCAGCGGGCCTTGGAGTTCCCAAGGTTATTGCTTCTTGGGGACTTCATGCAGATGGAGCCACTGCCACCAATCAGGCTTTGGACCTAGTGTCTTCCATGGCAGCGCTGGGGCATTCCCAAGTTGTATCAGGTGCCACACATCAAGCAGGCCAGACCCCAGATCCGATCTTTGGCATGAGGATGAATCTGGCCTCGAGGGAAGAGATGCCATGGTCTTGAAGGCCCGGCTGGGTGTCTCAGCCCCCCCCCCCCCGGATGGGGGGGGGGCGGATTTTTGCGTG